AGAGAGAGAGAGAGAGAGAGAGAGAGAGAGAGAGAGAGAGAGAGAATACCTTTCTGGGTTCTGACTTCACGAGCCGTGTCTCTGTTTCCCACAGTGCCAGCTCTCCTCTAAGGCCCAATGGGCTTTCCTGATCTTAGAAAAATGTGCAGCCTGGGAACTCCTGGAGCAATGCTGGTGTTAGCTGTAAGGGGAATCATTTCCCCACTGACTCCCATCACAAACGTGGGAATGTTTCCACATCTCCAAGAACAGGGAAAAGCCAAAGGCCTACGGAGAGCCGACTGACTCAGTACCTTCAGGAACACTGTCCTCACAACCAAGGTTCTGACTTTTCCATTCTACAACTTGGATTTCTGGGTAACATCTCTCTTAAAGAGGTGGCATCTGGGGTCTCCGCTACCAATGCTTACTCCTGGTGGCCCTTCCTCCTGGATCCAGGATGACTCGATTAAAAAGACAAACAAAAACTAAGCTAGGTGCCGTGAGGGCCTGAAAGGCCACTCTTTGGATGTCGCTCTACTATCACCAGTGACAAAGTACTCTAGGAAACGTTATCTGCCCTTCAGAAGCCCATAAAGTGCCCTGGCACTGGTCTGCCTTAAAGGAAAGATGGGAGAAGACTGCACCTACATCCCTGACCTCTCTGCACAAGTGGGAGTTCCACAGGATCGGAATCTGCATTTATGTTTAGATTTCTGAAATGTGCTGATAATTGGATGAACAACTGCTATTTTACATGACAAAAAGCATGAGTAATTTGAAGGGAGATTGGAGAATAAGTATGATGTGGAATCAGATTTAAAAGGGATGAACTCTCCAAATCATACCGCTCCAAGGTGGAGTTTGTGCCTCAACTAAGTTTTAGTTTAAGGTCTACAAAATAAAAAAGGAAATTCTGGGCCCAAAATTAATAAGCATAGTCAAAACCGAATCTGATCTGTCTAGGAAACAGCCCTTTCTAATGTCTTTCTGGGAGCTGTCGGACACTAGCTCTGCCAAAGTCACAAGTAAACTAAACATCTCTCACCTGGGTAGCAATGATGAAACTGGCCTTCCCTATCTTTTCACTACTTTCTTTTTAAGCAACTGGTCTCCTTAACATAGAGCTAAAGAAGTCTTCTATCATGCCCAACACATCTTGGAGGATTTTTTTTTAACTTCCTTAACCACAGCACAAATTCAAGGGTGCCACTCTCCCACCTGTGAGGCCTGCAGTAGCCTCAGCGTGGACGGGTGCCCCTGGCTTGAATAGAGGTTCCAGCTCCCGACACTTCAATCCTAAAGCATGAACATTTCTAGGGTAAAGCTTTCCGTCCTTTCGGACACATTCATGAAGAAGCTATGCATCTGTAAAAATGAACAACCTTCTGACTAATGCCACTTGTTAGAAAGGAAAGAGTGAGGTTAAGACAAATTACCGTCGTAGGCCTCTGCACCATGTTCTCCAGCCTGGTGTGGCTGAATTCCAGGCTGATCACATTGTAGAGTTTCTCGCGCTCCTCCTCTGGAGTCTCGTAATAGCGGGTCCACTGGGCCATGGTCATTTCAATGCCTTTCTGGGTGTTCACATCCATGACATCCACCATTCGACGGCTCCCTGTCATGAAAAGCTCATTTTTGGTGTGTGTGCTGAGGAACCAGTATAATCAGTCAAATGATAATACACCAAATCTCCTTTCTAACCTACTAAAAGTTACTTGAACAAGCCTCACCAACTCCTTTAAGTGCAAGCAAAGGGAGGAACAGGCATGATGAAGTTACCAAGTACCCTAGTGTCCTCTAAACGTATGACTTAAAAGGACTTCACAATCAGAATAAGCGTAAGAAATCAGCCCACAATTCCCAGCTCACAGAACTAGGACTTAGGGGGGCAGCTAGACGGTGCAGTGGATGGAGCACCAGCCCTGGATTCAGGAAGACCCGAGTTCAAATCTGGCCTCAGACAATTGACACTTACTAGCTGTGTGACCCTGGGCAAGTCACTTCACCCCACTGCCTTCCAAAAAAAAAAAAAAAGAACTAGCACTTAGGGTAAAATTAAAAGCAAGCTCCATCTGTTCACCCTTTCATCATAGTCTCTTTTCCAATTCAACCAATGAAAGTTTATAATGTAGAATTAATTCAACACGCAAATATTTGTTAGGCATTCATTATATACAAGGTAACCCTTTGAGCCTCAATTTTCTCAACTTTAAATGGCAGTAACAGCAGTTCCTAAGTTAGGGATATTGTAAGGATCAAATAAGATATCATAATGTACTTTGTGAATCTTAAACTATTTACTATATATAAATGGGAAGTGTAACTACTCTCCAAGACCCAAAGATGAATTAGACAAGGAGACTGTCCTCAATGAACTTATCATCTAGTAGGAGAGAAAGCAAATTGTTAATTGCCATAGGAATGACATAAACAAAGTTCTCGGGAGTGAGAGTGAGAGTCAGAAAGAGCAAAAGTGAGTGAGATAGAGGAGGGAAAGAGACAGACAGGGACAGAAAAGAGGCAGAGTCTCTAGAAATCAGGAAACAGCATTCACGGGGGCGACATGGCAGAACTGGCTTTTCAGATACAGAACGCTGAGGAAAGAACCCCGGGGAGTACCCATGCTCACGGAACGAGAGGAAGCATGGAAGGAAACGATGGTCAGCAGGAGAAGCAAGAAAGCAGAGTCTGAGGACTGGTAGTGTTCAGTGTCAAATGAGGCAGACAGTCCAAAGTGAATTAGGCCTGAACTGAACGCTCAGTCTAGCCCTGTACAGGCACTGCAGGGTTTACAACAACACTTATGACCTAAATGCCCCTAGGAACTTAGAACAGAGATAGAAGAAAGACAATATCCAAGTGGACCAGACAACGTGACTACAGTATGGTTGTTTAGAGTAGAATACAAGTATAAACAAAACATAAACTATTATGTATTAAAAGCTTCCGTCATTTTTATGTTTAAAAAAAAAGTAGAATTTCCTGTATATTAGCAAAAATGAGTACCACTAAAAATCTGGAAATACTGATTACATAGCAATTAAATATGCATTTAAGATCCCTGAAAAGTGAGGTGTTATATGGTTGGCCATCACTAGTTGGAGGGCACAGCTCGCTGCTTTCTAGGGAAACAGTAGTCTTCGGATGATAGCTGAAGGACTCCATCAGGGACTGAGAGGAGGGAATGAATGGACAAAGCCTGCGGTGAAACAGATACAACTATGGCCACGACTCCATCTTGCACAGGGCGTTCTGACCATCATTAACAGTTCTGGCATTCTGACAGACAGCGCTCAAAAACCGTGCAGTCAGTCATCCACTAAACTTCTCATGAGCCAGCTCTGTGAAATCTATCATTGCTCCATTAAGCATCATCTGTGGAAATGGCCCGCCTCCCATACAGGCCATGGCGTTGAGACAACAATGTTAGGGAGCTGTCAAGGAGATGCTCCCATTAGCACAGCAAGCAGATCTTTGAGGGGCTGGGCAAGGGGATAAGGGAAAAGTCAAGGAGACGAGCACTAATGGATTCAATAAACTTATGAGAGCGTCTTCGACGGGGAGTCCTGACGGGCCAAGAAAGGCAGGGAGGCATAGTACACGTTAATGTGGCAGGACAGTGGTTGGGTCAGGCCTGGGGACTGATTCTAGACTGACGGTGACGGTGACCAAGGGGCAAATGCTCCAGTTAGACCCGCTGTGTCTGCAGGACGCAGGACTGACCACGGATTCTGGGTGGGAGGGAAGACTCTGAAGAGGAGGGGGGCACAGTTGCCTGAGTCATCCTGGAGGACTGGAAAGGACCCTCTGGTGGCCAGAGGAAGGCCCTGCGGCCGATCATCTCCAAAGAAAAAAAGGACAAGCCATGGGGACACAGTACGTAGCAGAATTGTCTACGGAACAATGCTGGAGGAACTGTCACAGCCAATTCTGGCAAATTTGAAAGTTCTGGTTAAATAACAGATAAGGAAAAACTGCTTTCAGTTTCAACTCTTTCTGAAAATATTTCTGAAAGGCGACTCGCCTACTTTCCAGCCTTACTGAATAGAATTAAATTTGTAAAGTTTCTGGGTCATCTTGGATTTTAAACACAGAGCAGGCCCTTCAATGTTGGATCAATCAACGAGTACCCTCTGAAGACCTGACCAGGGCAGGTTTGGCAAGATTTTTTAAAAACAAAATAAATCCTCTGAAATCTCCTAATGTGTTGTTTTGCCTCTTTCATAAAAGAACTAAGTAACAAATTCTGCTATAAGTTCGTCCTAAAGAAGATCTAATTTTGGATGACTTGTATCGGTCTATAGGACTCACTCAATTCGGCAAGCATTGATCACAGCACTTGGGTGCCAGGCACTGATGCCAAATGCCCAAGATACGGAGGGAAAACCACTCCAGCCTCTGCTCAAGGTACTTAGATTCTTTTGTGGAAAATACTGTGTTTACACATAAGTAAAAAAAGGTAGGAAGAAATCTGAGTGGGGCCGGGACACTGACAAGAAAGGCTTCATCGGGAACTAGCACACAAGCTATGCATGGAAAGAAGCTCCATATTCTAAGAGGCCAAAATGAGAAGGGATCCCTATTCTGTAGACAGGGAACAAAATGAGAGCCTAGACTGAGGCCACGGCAGACAGCGACAATTAGTTTCTATTTTAAAAGAAATTTATCTAAAAGCTCTAACCTGGTTAGGATGATTCTTTGGTTAACATCCAATGCCTGAAATAGCTGTTCCCCTTCTCTAAAAAGTTGTTGTGGAAGATGACAGAGTGATAGGAACAAAACGGCAGCCAAACGGGTTCAAATGCCCACCAGGCAAGAGGCCCATAGGCCTCCTTTCTGGGGACAACTCGTCTGGTCTGTGACTGTTCAGCTTCTCCAGGTGTCCACTCCAGGCTCGTGCCCAGCACCATGCCCCTCCCTCACAGACTTGGAAGCCAGAGAGAAACTTACCCACACACATTTTCACATCATTCACAGTGAAGTCCGGGTCTGGCATCCTAGGAAATAAACACCAGAGTAAGGGCAAAAGGAGCAAAGAAAGCCCCAAGCCTGTGAGGCTCCATGATCTACCTCCCACAACAGACACACCCATCTTTAATGGGAAGATTTACAAGGCTCCTCTCTGATCACCTGTCTGACTCTCCACTCAGCAGAAGCATTAAGAGACTCAGTTGCCCCAGGAGCACAAGACCGACATTTCTCACCGTATCTGTCCATTCTGCCAGCCCACTTACTTTATTCCAAGTCCATCAGAATTCTTGAAAATCAGAGGATCTCTCAAGCCACCCCGCTGGATATACTCTACATTAAAATCTGTCACCAAAGGAAAACAAGCATTAGAAAGACCTAAGTTTTGCCTAGAAATTCAAAACTCAATTTTCAAAATACAATTTGTGCCAAAAAAAAAAAAATACAACTTCTGCAAAAGATCTGGTTATAGTACAACTATCCCTAACTATCTACCCTGTCCTAAATATCCAAAAAAAAAAAAATGGTTAATTCTGTCCACTATAATAAATACTATTTCACCCCCTCCCCAACTATTTGCCAAAGAGCAAGGCTGAATGGCACATGAAGAGTTTCCCAGATGAACTATGTCTGGAGGATATAAAAGGGCTTTCACTGCACTATTAACCCAACCCAAGGAAAGAGAGTCCTTCAGGAAAAGCTCCTTCTTCAGCTGCCCCACGAAAAGCTGGTACTACCATTCCTGAGAATGCCTCACCGTGGGAGCCACGACTAGAGAAAAGCACCAAAGGACAGTGGTCAGACTCTGCAGACGGGGCATCTCAACAAACACTTGTTAAGCACCTACTACATACATACTGTATACATATACATAAGTCATTGGCTGCAAGCAGGGGACTTCCCGGACATACCTGGACCTCCTTCGCACCACTCTCCAGTCCTGACTCCTTTATTCCTAGCTCAATAATGAGCTGGCTCTCCTAACCCCCACGGCCAACCTTCCAACACTGCCTCAGCCCACCCTACCTGTCTTCTCTCACAGATCAGCAGTTCCTCTATCATCCTGATTTTCCAATCATTCTCTATTCATCGGCTCCTTCCTCGGTGTCTTCCAATATACCCAACTCTCCCTCATTCTTACCCTAAACTCCCAGAACAAGCTGTTGATACTGACTGACTTCACTTCCTCTCTTCTTACTTCTCAACCCTTTGCAAGTCAGTTCCCAGCCTCATCACTCAACTGCAAGGGTTTCCTCCGAGGCTATCAATGACCTTTTAATTGACAAATCGAACAACCTTTTCTCAATCCCCATCCTTCTTGATCTCTCCGCAGCCTTGGGGACTTCGGATAACATCTTTCTTCACTAGGTTTTCATGTCCAAACCTTGCTTCGAGTCTTTCCCCATTCGAATCCATCCTCCATTCAGCAGCCAAAGTGAATTTCCTAAAGAGCAGATCTGACCATGCCACCCTCCTTCTCAATAAACTCCGGCGGCTTCGCATTTTCTCCCAAATCACACACCACATCCTCTGGTTACCGCTTAAACCTCCTCATAACCTGGCCCCTTCCTACATTTCCAATTCTCTTATTACTTGGGCCCCTCTAAGCACTCTATAATCCAGTTACACTGGCCTAGGAGCAGTTCTTTTTAGTACAACTCTATCTCCCATCTCCACACCTTTGCAATGGCTGTCCACCATCCCTTCCTTACTTCTGTGTCTCACTTCCCCTGGCTTTAAGACGAGCTCAAATTCCACCTTCCGGAAGAGGTGTTTCCTAGCGTACGACCCTCCTCTTCCCCAGGTGCAAGAGCCCTCCCCTCGCCTCTATGATTACCTTCCACCTACAGCCTACATCTTATATGTACCAAGTTACTTGCATGTTCTCTTCCCTATGAGATGGTGAGCAACTTCAAGGCCAGACTCTTTTTACTTTTCTCTATATTAGCACAGTTCCTGATGCAGAGCAAACACTCAAATAAATTCTTGTTGACTGACTGGTCTGGTATTCTCTCTGACAATTCCCTCTCACCCATTCTCCATACTCTCAGCTTCCCTAGCTTTCTATCATCTATATGCAGAAGGCTCCCAGACTTATAGATATGTGTTCCCGGGCTCTCTTCTGAGGTCCCATACATAGGGCATCACAAACTGAACCCTGGACATTTTAACCTTCACACGCGCAAAACGCAGCTCATTATCTTACCCTCCAGACCACACCTATTTTCCAAACTTCCTTATTGTTGTCAAAGGCATCATTATCTTCCCAGTGTTCCAGGTTCATAACATTGGCTATGAATAATACACACACACACACACACACACATTTTCTCTCCAAACAGACTGTAAGTTCCTTGAGGGCAAGGACTTTGATTTTTGTCACTAGATCCCCAGTGTCTAGTATAGTACCTAGCACACAATAAGCATTTAATAAATATCTGTTGACTGACTGAAGAGCATTGGGCTAGGGACTAGCTAAGATACAAAGTTTATGTAGATAGGGCTTTGATAAGCCAGTGAGGAAAGAGTAAATAATACTGACCTTTTCCTTCCATGAAGGTGACAAAGCTAGCATTGTACTTGTTGGTGTGGAGTTTTTCATCCAGGTCAAAAGTCCTTTTTCCTTCAATTTCATCATCAGAAATACCATCATCTTCATAGCGTCTTCGCATGGTGCCACGCTGTAAGAAGAATGAGGATATAGCGCTCGTTAGGAGCTGCAATTTGTGGGTTCTCCCCCTAAAGGTAACAGCATTATCCAATAGTGCTTGAGAGCTATTTCAGCCTGGTTACTAACTAGCAACTATCCATTAATTCTCCTCCTTATGTAGACCGATCCATTCTTTCCTCTGAGTCAAAGAAGCACGTCAGTAACAGAATATATGTGAACTGCTAGAATAACACAACAACGGGAATCTGGCTGATGCCGACTTCCTGAACTAATGGCCAGGTTCACAAAGTTTTCAGGAATAGCAATGTTTACAGACCAGGGCTAGCAAAGGTTTTACTGTCAGATCTATCAGTGGCAGTAGCTGAATAGATGAGTATTTTCAAGCAATACCATTTTCATTACTCATAAGAAAAACAAAATCCTTTGTCAATCTTACATTAAAAGCTTCAACAACTGTGTAATCCTGAGTCCAGGCTCAAATATCTGTCAGGAAGTTTAGTAGTTGAAATACAGGGCTGACCAACTCTAGCCATTCAAACTGGTGGTAATCTTCAAAGTAAGGTGTGGTATACAAGGGAAAAAAAAAAAGGGAGAGAGAGAGAGAACTGAGGAGAGCCGCATGGCTGTTCAGCTCACTTAAAGTCTGCCTACCTCTGGGGCTCATATTCCCCCTCCTGTGCCTTGTACAGACTGGACCTGGCCATCGCCCCACGTGGGCGGTCATTCTCTAACTGACCCCTTTTAGGCCCATGTCCCCCTTTGCCCAGTCACCCTCGCAGCAGCAGCCAAGTTCCTTGCTGTCCTCCAACTCATCTTCCCCACCTTCCCCCAGGTGCATGAGAAGGCTCAGGCAGGCAGAGCAGTGACAAGAATGAGAGTGAGCAGAAAGAAGAGCTAGCACAGCAAGAGAGGAAAGATGGGTACTTGGGGCTCTGATCTGCAACCAGGCATCCCCTCCCTCAATCTACTGGATAGTCTGAATACAAATCAAGGCATCCATCTACCACCTGTGAGGTTACGGCTTTCCCAAGCATTCTACCACCTGCCTGACAGCTGCCTCCCCTCACCCCCACCCAGAACAGCCACACTTTGGATCTGGAACCTGACTTTCACAGACTACCTCTATCCCCACAGATTCTTTTTAATTGCTTTATCATAAAGTGATAAACCAAGATTTAAAAAAGAGAAGCATATTTAATTGCAATACTGACTTAAAAAGCACTGAAAATGTTTAATAAGAACAAAAAAGATTTTTTGTATTAATAAAATAAAAATCATTTTAAATGGTTTATTTTATATAATAATTATTTTTTATAGTTTTTGTTTATATGCTTATGTACTATATACTTGTTACAATTAATTTTATTTATAATTATCTCAACATTTTAATTTCTGCATGTTTTATCAGGCACAAAATATAATTAGTACAACAGTATGTGTATACAATATAGATCTAGACACATGTATTGGTAAGTATGTCTAAAAAGTTGATGGGATGAGTGGTCAAAAAAGGTTTGAGACCACTGAGCTAAACAAAAGGAGTAAAGTGATGTATGGGCAAGTCAACAAGCATTTATGAAGCACCTACTATGTGCTGAGCACTTTACTGACTACTGAGAACATAAAGAAAGGAAAGAAACAGTCTCTGTTCTCCAGGTCACATTCTAATGGGGGAGATGGCAAGCAAACAACTATGTAGAAGCAAGATATGTACAAGAGAAATTGGAGACAATCACAGAGAGGAAGCACTGGTTTAGGGCTCTAGTCATTCTTGAAAACCATTTGGAACGACGCCCCCAAAGTTACTAAATGGTGCATAATCTTTGCAAAAACCAGTACTAGGCTTCAACCTCAAAGAGACCAGAGAAAGATGAAAAGGACTCGTATGCACAAAAATATTTCTAGCAGCTCTTTTTGTGGTAGCAAACAACTGGAAACTAGCAGCTTGGCCAACAACTGGGGAATGACTGAATACTACTGAAGGGTACGAAACAACAAAAGAGACAGGAGAAACGGGAGAAGACTTTTGTGAGTTAATGAAGAGTAAAGTAAATAGAACCAGCAGAAGAATTTATACCATAAGAACAACATTTTAAAGGCAAATAACTTTGAAGAATTAAGAACTGATCAAGACAATAAGCAACCCCTATTCTAGAGGACCAGTGATGAAACACCCACTTCTGGACACGGAGATGACAGATTAAACATGCAGAATAAGACACACAGATCTGTACACGGCTTTGTCTGACTACACGTGTGAGAAGGGTTGTTCTTTTCCTTCTCCGTGTGGTGTGGGAGAGGGCTGAGGAGAAGGAGGCGTTACAATTCAGCCTATTCAAAAGAATGTACTGTTTCAGAGATGATTCCAGTAAGCAGAAATTCTCCCAAAGGTTTTCCATCAATGGCAATATCACCGGGATAACTAGATAGCTTTCAAAAGTGACTACTCGGAAGGAGCCGACACAGTCGTGTTTGTGTTAAGAAAAAGTGCTGCTTTAAATATTTTGTTGTATATAAATAGAGACCTTCTTCTCATCAATGATCTCCTTGGGGTACAAGCCTAGAAATGTGCTATCTGGATCAATGAGGACAGACGTTTTAGTCATTTTATCTGCGTAATTACAAACTGCTTTCCAGAACGGCTGCATTGATCTGTATCTTCCCACAACCCCTTCATCACTGATTATTCCCATCTTGTGTCATCTATGCCAGTTTGCAGGGGGTGAGGTAAAACCTCACAAGTGTTTTAATTTGTGTTTCTTTTCTTAGCGATTTGGAGCATTCCTTTTTATTGTTGTATGAGTTTGTAAATTTTTTTTAGTTTTTATTTAAAAATTTTGAATCTATATTCATTAAGGATGTGGGTGTGCAGACTGTCTATGTTTCATCCTTCCCTGGTTTAGGTATTAGGACTATATTTGTCTCATAAAAAGAGTTTGGTAGAGTGCTTTCTCAATTTTTGAGGATAACTTACACAGTGATGGTAATAACTATTCTTTAAAGTTTGATAGAATTATCCTATAAATCTATCAAGCCACGGAGATTCTTCCCTCCGGGGGTCCTTTTATAACTTCTATTTAAAAATGTTTACAGCAGCAATTTTTGTAGCAGCAAAGAACTGGAAACAAAGTAGACGGCCACTGACTGCGAAGTAGCTAAATAAATGTTTTATCCGATTTTCCTCACATATTTTGTTATATAGGATAGCTCTCTGTTATGGGGTAAGGGTAGTGATAATGGGGGAAATATTGGTCATAAAAAGATGTAAAAAACTTTCTATTTCTAGTCAATTTGGTACTCTTCTGAGGGGCGAGGAGGGAAGAAATGTCTTGCTTTTCCTCCAGTTATCTTACTCTCTCATCAAATATGGTCCATCTTTCAGAAGCATCCTGATGGGGTGGGGGACAGAAAGGAAAGAAGAAAGGTGAAACCTGCCCAAACCAAGCCATTCAGGCTCTTCCTTTAACAGCAGCAAGAAAGAGACTAGTATAGCCTATATCAGATCACATGCCTTCTTGGGAAGGGGGGAAATTTTAGAACTCAAAATCTTATAAAAGTGCAATGCTGAAAACTAAAAATAAATAAATAAATAAACAGATAAGTGAATGAATGAATGAATGCTTTAAAAAAGGAAAAAGACTGACCCAATCTTTCATTTTCTTTTTGCTTCTGGGAAGTCAGCAATAAGGCAAAAATATATAAAACTATAAAAGAGTGAGGTACCGAAGTCCTCCCCAACTTATATAAAACCTTCACAGGAAGCGAAACATATTTAGAGAGCATTTTATGAAATGTACTATATCACTTCACGGATTATATCTGGGGAATCGTTAGGAAAATATGCAATCTATATTTTACAGATAAAAAGTTCAATCTGCTTTAATATTAGGGAAAGAAGTAAAAAATCTTCAAGCCAACCAACCATTAACTAAAAGCTCAAATTGGCTTACCACCTTATTGTGGTATGTTCTAGGTGGTTTTCATACTAGCAGATAAAAACTCATTTTGGGGGGAGAGATAAGACCAAACAAATCAATTTGGGGAGCTCTCAAGTGAGTTACTGGTTTCCCATATTGCCTGATCCAACTTCACAATTCACAGTAGAGACAAAATGGAGACAGACCCCATTCTTACCATATTTCTTTCTCAAAGGCAATCTATTTTTCCTGGTTGTCCAGCCCTTATTTGTACCAAGGAAGAGGTACTCCCTCCCACACTTCACCAAGTCCTTGTGGCATATGTTTAAAAAAAAAAACCCAATCCAATAAATTCACTCCTTAAGCAGTTCAGAGGAATTCTGAATTAGAAAAAATACATGAAGTTTCTTCTACATAGTAACCTCTCATTTATCTGGAATTCAAACAAGAAGAAATCTCTTTAAACTTTCATTTCACAACCATTCTAAACAAATGGTGACTGATGGGATTGAGTAAACACAAAGGGATTTCTCCTAAAAAGTAACAGTAACATTATTAGATCACAGAAGCATTTTCCTAGTTCAGTTGCAGAAAGAAGCAACAGCAGCGGTTTCTGCTCTGGCCAGAAAGACCTGAAGGTCTTCCCCTCCCAAAGTGATTTTTTTTTTTTTGGACTAGGTAAAGAGGCCATTCTCTGCCTCAATCAAACTGAGATCTGTTAAAGACCTTAGCTTAAAAGATCAAGGTCACCCTACCGAAACCTGGGCCATCTCCAGTCATCCTGATCTATATCTCACCACTGGATCCAGATGGCTCGGGAGGAGAGAGTGAGGCTGCTGACTTGGCACAGACCTCCCTCACTCAAACTCAATTCCCTTGCATGTCATGGCATCACCTCCCTGTGTCCTGGTCCTCTTGGAGAATGAAGCAGTAGAAGAGAACTTAGATTCAAAGACAGCAATGATTTAGCAGAAACTTCAGATTTTCTCTCTCTCAAAGTTAACAGTTACATAGGTGTTCACTTAGATATGCCCCAAGAAAGAACTTTCCCTAATGGACGCTACCATCTACTACAAATGGAAGGAGATGGAAG